GCTCCGCCCCGGCGGGGAGAGAAGCGGGCGGGGTGCCTCCGCGGGCCCGCTCCTTTCTTGGCGCGGAAGGGGGTTTCTCCGTCCGGGTGTTCTCCTTCCGAGCGCTGCCGAGCGAGCCAGCGGTTCTGGGCCGGGGCCCCTAAGAGGAACTCCGGGGAGCCCCCTTGTCACGCTGCCCTGGGATACCCTCGCCTGGCCTGGAGCTTGGCTCAGATCTTTTATTACAGAGGAAAAAGAGGCAAAAACGTTCTGAGTGGTCCAGAAAATCGCTCAGGTTTTTTTACCCAGCATCAAACTTTGGCCAGTGTGAGTTTGCTCAGTATATCGACGGAGAGCGCTAGCAGAGAGCAAACGCACGCCATGAAGTCCTGATTGGCATTGGCTTTCCTGTGTAATAGAATACCTAATTATCTTCGTGTGTTGATAATGTATGCATTTTAATGTGGCATTAACATCTTTAAACACCATTTCTCTTCCCAAAATCATATTAACCAACGTAGGAATACAGTATTAAACCCCATTGGGCTCATAGCAGAGAAAACTCACGTGTAAGTGTCCTATCCGTTTGCACTTCCAGAATAATTATGTTGACGGCCAAACTTTTGTAAACAATCTCTGAGGTGTTCAGTAAACAGGAAGATGCCTTGCTGTCCTAATCTCATTTCTAACTCTATGTTCACAAAAATATTATTTAATGTTAAGATTCTTAACCATTGTTTTATTGTATGGGGTATTCCAATTCTGTATTCCAGAGCTCATGCAGTAACCAATATCCATTCTTTAATTGTCTATAAAAATACTGCAGATTTGGAATCATTCAAAACATTTTGCTTTTAGGTGCCAAAGCATCCAAACCAAATTGAAATTAAAAGATATTTTAATGGGGCCATAACATCCTCTAGCTCAGATGTTTTAAAAACTTAATAAAGTGATGCAAAATATAATACCCTTATTAGCCCATGAACTTAAAAAGGATTTATGGTGATGGATAATGCATAGGTCGGATGATCATGAATATGGTTTTATGAATGGTTTTTAATTATATTGTTTTTTGTGTCTTCATTACTGTAAATCTCCAGGAGTCTTGCAATTGTGGCAGACAGAAGTGAAATAGATAAACCGACCAACCAATCTACAATTTTCCTGCTGGAATTATCCCAAAATGTAAGTTTATCATGAGAATCTGGATCAAAATTAAATTTTTGTTCCAGTATATGCCAGATATACCTTTCAGCAATAGTAGAAATACAACTGAGTTTTGACTAAAAGAAAGAACCAAGCCTCTGCCATAATATTAAAGGAATCATAATTTCTAATTGTGTTTATATATTTTTTTAATTTGATCACTTAAATTCTGTAGAGAAACTAGAAGTAACAAAAGTCAGAGATTAGGAGAGTGAAAACCCCATCATCATGTGAAAATCATTGTTTAAACTAAATAAAATCTATGGGAACGTTTTTCCCAGAATACTTTTTAAAATAATTTATCAATCTGCTTAACATACTTTAAAAGTATTAACACAGGAATCACTCTAAATACGTATATCAATCTTGAAATAACCTTGCAGAAGAGGCATGCTCCAGATCCAATTTGCTAGAGAGTTCCATCTGGCGGGAACTCCCATGGTGCTCGCCCTCTGGAATATCATCCCCCTGAAATTAGGCTTGCTCTGACTAGCCTTTCACAAGGCATTAAAAACCTGGCTTTGCCATCTAGCCTGGGGCCCTGGCAGTATGGGTGAGCTTGTTTCATGGCCGATCTGAGTCGTCGTGAGTGTTCTCAGTAGCTATTTATGTCATTGATGTTGTTTTTTTAAGCAAATTGGCTGTTTTATCCTTTTTTTGTTGTTGTTATTGTTTAGCTGCCCAGAGTCATGTATATGAGATGGGTGGCCATATAAATTTACTAAATAAAATAAATAAATAATGTGAAAATTATTTATGGTAAACCATTTGTCTTCTATGTGGTTTGAAATTGTCTTGTAAGAAATTACTGTATTTGAATGCATTGATCCAATTTCCATCAGTCCATCTTAATTTGGTAAGGTTTGCTTATTAAGCGATTATTATTATTAATTGATTAGTTTCTTATACACCATCCCTGCTGAAGCTTTGACAGGCTTATTTAAATGAATTCAATTAATTGATTAAAAGTGTTTAGTGATTATTCCAATACAAAGATTTATTTCAACAGCATTCCCAAAAATGTATCTCAGGGATCCTAAGGGCTACAAAATTCAAATCTTTGTCTGCATTCCTTAGAACAGGGGTGGACAAAGTTTGAGGAAACTGTGGTCACAGTTCAGCCTCCTGGAAGGCAGTAGAAGGACTTTTGATATATGATCTCTATGGGAGGGTGTGGCAAAATTGTTCAATCTGTTTTTTGGCTTTTTTGGTGAGTTTTAAGGAGGAGGAAGGGAGCAAGAAGCTTCCTAGAGGCAAACCATCCCCAACCCCTCCTTTGAAAAGATGGAAAACAGATCAAAATTGCACTAGCAAAATGCAGCCGTTTTGTCTAGCGTGGTCTAAAATGGTTGTTGGGCCAGGTTCAGTTCATAGGGCTTGCCCATGCCTTCAAGTTTCATTCCTGTCCAAATGTGTTTTCCTAAAAACTCAGCTTGTGGCTCCTTGTACCTGGGAATCGCTGGGTTCTTTCTGTTTTCAATACAATTTTTGGATAATCAAATTCCCCTCTTCCAGCTTCTGGGATGTTCCCTTTTCAACCATTTAAAATAATACATTTATGAGGTATAAAGCTTTTCTTATAAGATTGTAGTACATTAAAATTCATATTTTAAGTGGGAAAGTTATTTTTCTGAACTGTAGACAAACTATATTTGTCTAACATTCTGTGTCCAAAGCAGCCAGCTAGTTAACTCTGAAATTGAGCGGTGAGATATAAAGGCAAAAGACTTCTACTGTTACCACCACCATCTATTGTAAGCATGGTCTTTTGCTGTGGATGAGAAATCTTTGTATATCAGATTTAGTACTGACGTGTTTTTAATCAATTTATACCATCTCATGTGAAAAGTCAGGTGCAACAGTGATAAAAATAAACTAAAAATTGTCTTGGCATTTTATCTTTATTTCTCCATGAACACCATGGCTACTTCAGTTTGTCTTTTATCATATGCTCTTACCTGCAAATATTCTCTAGATTTCAA